AGCCACCCTCTAGATTTATTCAGTGTGTCCCACTACAGTTTATGCTATCATTTGTCAAAAAATTTCCAAACTTTATTCTTTGTCAGCTTCCATCAAGTTCTATTTTGGTATATATTTCAACCTCGTATTTCCTGAGTTTTCAAAGAGTTGCGTTATCATTAGGCTTCTTCACTTAAAAATACGATAAATTAAAAAATGTTCTACTACTCAGGAAGTCAGGATATACATGAAGTTTTCACTGCAATTACATCCCATGAAAGAAACAAGCCAAATAGTATGAGAATTTTATCAGGCCTCACAACCTGCCTGCCAGAAGCACAATGTTTAACCCTTAACTATAAGATACCAAAAGTACGTTGAGATGGAAAACTTGATACTTGCCATTCTTTTTCTTGTAAGACTTAGCAGATATATAAAAAATTATCGAGAACAAAATACATAAAGGGTTTCCAAAGGTTGATGGTTTATTCCTAGGAAACATGTAGGGACTCAAATTTTTCCAATATGTGAGATTCAAAAATTGAGATGGCTTCTACCCCTTAAACAGAACTTGCATAGATACCAGTCCTTGTGATCTCTGATGCTTAGGAGCTAGCTGCTTTCATTTCTATTCTATTTCATTTCTGTTCTAGCTGAATTGTCAAAGGCTTGAAAGAACTACACATCTGTAAGTCTAACACTCACAGAGATGGCTATATCCATTGTAGGTCGCTAAATACATGCATTTCCACTGTCTTCCAAGATCTGTGCATTTGAATTGAGTAGACTGAAGAACTGCAAACTAAGCTTTTCATTTGCCTGCACATTTCATCTGTTATATATGAAGTTATAAATCAGCTGCATAGGACAAGTTGGACTTAAATGCCTGCCTTGGTTTTCTGAAAAAAAAATCTGATTTGGACTGTCATATTTTAGAAGCTAAAAATACTATGCCTTTTTTAAAGGAGCAGAACTGAATTAAGACAACACTATCCAAACCTAGTCTCAAAATATTACATTATATAATAAATCAAATCAGAAAAATCTGCAAAATTTCAGCTTCTTGGAGACACTGGATAGCATGCATTGTTTTCTTAATGCTAAAAAGAAACATCAGTGAAACTTTAATTTGGCGGTTGACCAAAGTCGTAACAGTAGAACGGTGAAAATCAACAATATGCTTATGAGTACACATGCACACGGACAAAGTAAATACCTTTAATTGGATTTTTTTAAGAAGTTGTATCTTCCATTAATACCACCCTAAAAATGTGCTCCATTTTCTTGCCAGAATAGGTAATGCATCTTAGAGTTCTTCATACGATATAGACATTCATATATATATGATGAATTGGAGGAGGGAAGGGGGATTCGACGGGTGTCTGCAATTGTGCAAGCAAGTATTTTTTCTTTCTTTTTTAAAGGGAGTTTGGTTACAGTTTGGAGACAGCTAGGAAACAAAGACCTTATTTTTATATATATCTATTTTCCTTGCTCATGGATTTACTCACAGTGCTAGTTACAATTCAAGTTTGTGTGAATAACAGAAAACGGCTGTCAAAAGTGTTCCTCACATGAACGTTCATTCATAAACGAAGTTCTCGTCCCCTTTAAACTGCTACTGAATGACCGATTTTTCCCCCATATCGGCTTTTTATACTTAATATAGTCTTACTTAAGAAGGTCACACACAGGAGAAATATATTTTCTGATAATCTTCTTCATTCTGTATATACTTTCCATCTAGCATAGATGAAAAACCAAAAAGGAATGCAATCATTACCTTGTTACTTGACTCATTAGGAATTTTGCTTGGAAGGTTCAGCTAGAAAGCACTTACTCTATAACAAGCATTAGGGAATTGAATATAGCACTGCAAGAGCTCAATAAATGTCCCTTTACAAAGAGAGGCTACATTTGCCTACATTTTATTTCATTCACTAATGTGCCAGTTCATAGTTTTTTTCCATGAATTATTAATGAATCATTGTGAACAAGCAGGCAAAAAAGGAAATAAAACATGTAAAATTAGTCTTTAGATATTTTTTTTCCCCTAGGTGCAACAAGAATTCAGCTAGGAGAACTTAAGAAACAATGCATAAGGACACGGGGATGGTAGCCAAAATAGACTGTGTTTGTTTGTTTGGGTTTCCCAGGTAGGCTTGTAAACAACTTTTAGTTTATAAATCTTTTCATTTGCAGACCTGTTAAGTCCGATGAAAAGGAAGGAACAAATGAACCCTAAGACCCATCACCTGTCCATTTTATTTTCCTGTCCACGAACAGATTAAAAAAACACTCCTGGCCTCAAGGCACCAGTGGGCAGAAGACAGAGTTATGCAGAGCAGCAAAATATTGTCAAAATAAGAGGTGCAAATAATATCTGCCAAAGGCTAACAGATTTTAGTTTCCGCAGAGCTAGCAAAAAACAGGACACTGTCCAATTCTGTTTAGCAGATGATTCTCAGAAAAGTGATTTTGTAAAGAAGTGAAAAACAGGGAAGGGCTGTCCTTGAAGAACTCTTGTACATATATTTATATATATGTGTGTGTTGCTTATTTGTGCAAATCGAAGTGTCATCTTATCAGCCTTAAAAAAAAAAAAAAGTAATTCTACAATATTGCACACAGTACTGTTTTATTGCCATTGAAGCCTGTTAATACTTCAGACTAAAAGCTCTGTAAACCATACAAAGTTTTTTGCCATTTTAATTCTGATATTTGGGTAGAAGAATTTTAATATACTTCTTATGTCTCAATTAGCAACATGATTAATAAAAGTCATCTGTTCAGAAATTAAAATTATTTATGCTTACACATTTTCTAACAGAGGGGTTATAGGAGGGCCTCAGCTGAATTTCCAGATGTATACTTTTGTACCTTTGAAGGGGGAAACACAGAAAACTAAGTGTGTATATGACATGGTTTCCCTCTATAATTGCTCAAAGGCCAAGTTGGTACATTTGTGGTCTGGTGTCAATAATTCAAAATCTGCATCAGAATTTGTGGCCCATCTTACTTCAGTACTCAAAAGATCAAAATAAAAGGCCTTGCAAGTCCATCAGTCCCAACCTTGACAGCATCTTTCAATTGACCATTTAAAGAAGGAGCACAAAACGCACGATAGTGAAGTGGAATGAAATCGCTGTAAGGTGGTATGCAGTTTACTGAATCTCTGTCCTCTCAGAGCTTGTTTTTAAAAAAAAAATAATAAAAATATTCACTCTAAGAAGGCTTGAAAACACTCCAGGCAGCAGCAGATCTTTGGTTTTTTTCCTAGTTCTGAGCTGAAAAACCCATCTGTTTGACCTCATTTTGCACTGAATTCATGGTGATCTTACATTGTTGTTACTGTGTATTTTGCATCTATAATGTAGCAACAATTCCACAAGTTTTGTGCTACATTTATTTTACGCTACCTATACTCTTAGGCTAAATACTACTATTCTTCGACCTATTACAGGTGTCCTATCAAAAATACTTCCCCTCAAATCCACAGGTAGCCGTCTCCAAATCGATGGCAATAGTAGCCTGTACAATATTTGATCCCATGTGTTCTTTGTGAGTGCGAATACCCCTGAGAGCTTTGCACCAGAGACCCCTATAGGGCTAGCTTTACACATCTGCAAACTGAATTATGTATTTTTCAATGAGACCTTTCTGCTAAAAATACACAAATAGGAGCCTGAACTAGCGGTACCTTGTGACAGATTAAAAGGAGAAAATGCAAGAAGATTTTTTTTTTGCATTTTGTCCTGAAGTAATTTCCATACCTTTATAGCCCTATACTTATCTATGAATATAGAGCAATATACAAAATGTAAGTACAGAAGTATCATACTTATGTATAGTATCATACTTCAGTACCAGAAAGGGAGAGAAGCTCCCAAGGTTGAACAGAAGGCCTGCCTACCACAGAGCATACAACTCTGCTTAAAGTCCTCCTGAAACGAAACCTCCACAAACTACCAGAACTGGTTTCACAGCATTAGCAAGTGGCTGTGAAACCCTTCTCTAATATCCAAAAAAATTTCAAATAAAAAGTCTGTGGCAGTGACCAAAGCTCTTCAGTGTAAGGGTGGTGTGTTTGTTAGAGTACAGCTAGGACATAACGTGAGTGTGGGAAACTCTTCCAGTGGATTTTGCTTTAATACATACTCAAACATGGCCTACTGGCATTAGCTAACTTCTCCAAAATCAGGCCTTGGCTGAGGCCTTCTCTGGATATAAATTTTGTTGCTTTTTTGATCTGCTAAGCAGTATGTTCCTCTCTCCCAAAATTAACGTGACTTTTGAAGATTTGTGCATACCAAAGCGGCCTCGCTTTCTGCCCGAGCGGGGCCAGCGTGTACACCACCACGACTAAGTATATAAAGGTAAAAACAACCTCGTTTTACGCTGTGTCTAGTGGAGAGAAGCACAAAGGCAGAAACGACATGAAAGGAACCCTCTTTCTCATCACCTGCAGCCCCTAACCCCAGCCTGCCGAGTCTGCCGTTTACTGCAAACCAACCACCCAACGTGCCGTTACGAGCAACATGGCTCTAATTTCACCCAACTAAATTAAAAGCCTCACTTGTGCGGGTTACTGCGAGTGACTACGCTTTCATTACTGCCTCAAAGCCCCCCTTTCCTAAATCCCGAGGAGAGCTGCCTGGGTGAGGGCCAAGGGCCTCCTTTAATGGCGAGCTGTGGATGGGCTGCGGCAGTCGCTCCGGCAGGGGAGGAGGAGGAGGCCGTGCCAACAGGGAGGCAGTCGCCCTCACCTTCTCCTCCCAGCCCTCCAGAGGGTCTCCCCATGGCAGGGCAGGTCAACACAACCTGTCCTGCTGCCCCGTTCGCAGGCAGCCACCATTCCAGCCACCGTTAGGAGGACAGGTGTGGCCAAGGTCCTCATGCAAGTACCCTCCTGCTACCAAAATGGTGGGGAATCCACCAGAGAAACACAGTGCTCTTTCCTCAAAAGAGCTTTAAAACAGCTCCTCGTAAAAAAAATAAAATAAATTAAAAGCCTGCCTTACCTGTGCCTGGGAGCCGTGCCTGCAAGATGGCAAAGATGAGGATCCTCCGGCCTTTCATCTTGGCTGTCCCGGGCGGTGGTGGGGAGCGGGAGGCCGCGGGGAGCGGAGGAGAAGAGTGGCCTCCAAGGGCTGTGCTGTGCCCCGACCTCCCCGCAGGAAGCTCACCACCTGCCGGCAGCCCCGCCGCGGCGCCCGCCTTCCTCTGCCTGCCAGCCGGCCGCCCTCCCAGGGCTGGGGCTTGTCTTCTCGGTATTGCTCTTTGGGGTTTCCTTTCCTACCTTTTTTTTTTTCTTTCTTTCTTTCTTTTTGGTTGGGTTGTTTTCTTTTGGGTCCTCTTTGCAAGAGGGTTTTTGATGGGTTTCGGTTTTTTTCCCAGGTTTGTCTGATGGTTCCTAGGACATCCCAGTCAGCAGCTGCTGATGTCCATAAGGGGCCTAGAAAGTATATGTCAGATTCCGCCTGGCTTCGAAAGGGATGAAAATATCACTATGTCCAGTGTGCAGTGTGGTTTAAAATTGTAAGGTAGACTCACTCTTAAGCAAGTAGCTGGCTAAATGGGTAAAGATATAAAGTTCATTTCTGAATCTAATTGAATCTAATGGCTTTGTCTCAAGCAGCCTACAGTGGCTGCGCTCTCAGGGCTATGGGAGGACCGGCCCCAGGGAGAGCTGGTTGCCTCCACAGGAGCCAACATACCAGCGCAACTGGCCCTGCCTGCCTCATGTCAGCTGTACCCACGAAATGGAGATGCCTTTTGATGCGAGCACACTGCATCTTTGCATTTTGAAGAGTGTCAGCCCTCGTGGAGCTCTGGAGCCGTTTTGTCCTCCAAATCGCTGCAGCCCCTAGGGAAGGAGAGCCCATGTCATCTCTGCAGGAGAGCATCTTCTTCTTGCTGGGCTTGAAACAGAAAGCTTTGCAGCCTCTAGCTCATGTACGCCACTCCTACCCACTGAGAGGGCCACAAGATTGAATGTCCTTGCTGCTTGAAGCTGTCCTCTTGTGACAGATCCTGAGGCAGAGCAGCACACCCCAGGAGTGGGATGGGTGATTTGAAGGCAACTGTGGTCTGGGACCTAGCAGGGCTTTTCAGCCCCACCTTATAAGCTCGCTCATTAACACAGTCCTCAGAGGAACGCAAAATTAAGCAGGTCTGCCCAGTGGCCACCAGCGTGCTGCAGGTCCAGCACAGTGACTGTAGTGCCTCCCATGCCACCCTAAGCCCCTGCTGCCTCCTTGCCCAGGTAGCATATGTACATGCCAACTGACTAGCCCAGCACGAAAGTGAAAATGCCCTGGGTTTTTCTGCTGCTCTGAGGGACTAGTAAGATCGCTGCAGCTAGCTACAGAAAACCCCGAGTAGGAACAGGTTATGTTTGAGCCTCCTTTCTTTAACAGTGTGAGAAATACCCGCTCACATCTTAGAATTTAAAGAGGACAAAGTCACCGAAGCAAAGGTTAAAAAAATTTATTAATACGAAACAGCGCTGAATCAGGTGCACCAAAAATAGATGCATGATGATCTTTCAGCTTTCAGGCATTTTATACCCTTATTCCGGCCGCCGGAGTTTGTCTCTCTTCTCATTGGCTGAGAAGTCGGAGCTCACATTCTTCCCGACCGCCTGACTTATTGCAGGTTTAGTTCGCACTTTTTCCCATATAAGGCACACATACACCTATTCTATGAAATCATTATCCTAAACACGCCTTTGATTAGTTGATTATGCTACATGTTATTTCACAGTCTTTGCTACCATCTACTTGGCAGATTTTCTCTCCAAGACTGGTTTCTTTGGCCTTATTGATACTCCCCTACGCTCTGGGTTCCTGTGTTGAAGGCCGTGTTCCAGTTTGTTTCTCTTCACCTAGATAACGCTCTGTGAACAAGGATCCCTTGACAGACCAAGGGCATTTCTGGGGATTAATGGATACAATTTATTAGATTCTACTATCACTAAGACTCCTTTGTTAGTACTGACACACTAACAAGAATATTATCAATTAGCTGAAGCAAAACTTAGCTAATTTCCCACAACAGAATTAATGTTTTTGACTCCTTGGGTCAAAAGCGGTTGGGACGGTGGTGAGCAGCAGGCTGACCCAGAAGAATCACACTTTTTTCCTTACAAAGCCAAGTTAGGGATCGAATCGGGTGGTATTAAAGCAGGAGGCTCCATAGGCAGCAGTGGATAACCACACAGGCAACAGAATAAGCACGCTTCAGCAGTAACCCAGCAAATGTCACTCAGGAAAAACACTTTGTACTATGAGCTGGAAAAAAACAAGAAACTGGTCTGCCTTAACCATATTAAATCATTTAATTATGCTTTTACTTGAGGACCTCAACAAACTTTTCAAGTTAGCCTTACTACAGCCAGGGCAGTTAAGCTTTTACAGATAAAGAAGGCCTAAAGGAAACGGGGAAAACAAGGCACTGGAACTCAAAAAGAACTAGGAATCAGGGACACCTGGGAGTTGTTTGGCTTTGGGGGTGGGTTTTTTCCCTGCCTTGGTTTTCTTTATTAAAAACAAACAAAACCAAACAAAACAAACCCAGACAAACCACCACAGAACTTTTAAAAGCATGAGAAAATAGCAAGGAGAGAACCAAGGTGTGGTTAGGCTTACTTCCTCCTCAACATTTCTCATTGCATTTTTATTGTTATTATTATTAAGAAGTAGCAGCAACTAATGAAAGGATTCATTAGGGCAATAGAGGGGAGAAAAAACTCACCATAACGAAATAAAATTAAGAAAGGGGAAATTTGGAGTTTTAGAAAAATCTTCCTGAGGAGATATTGGACAGAAGTAAATTCTCCAGCACAGTGTTAGGGCATTTATATGAAAATCATACCACATGACATGGTGATGCCAGCTCCCACTTTGTAAGAAATCTCTATTGTGCTTTTTTCAAATGTGAGCAAATTAAAAATGTCACTTTTATTAGCAAAAATAAAAAGTACCTTTTAGACAACTCTTAATTAAAAAAAAAAAGCTTGAAAACATGATTTAGATGCACCTTAAAGCCTAAAACTCATCCTCCTCTGATCAAAATACAACTGGCTCAACAGAAGATTGCTGCGTTTACAATAATACTATTAATACACTTCAGGATTAGAGCTGAAGCTGGGAGGAAGCACAAGTATCTCAATGAATAAGTTGTTTTTTTTTTTTTTCTAATTCTTAGAAAAGAAAGAGAAAGGTGAGGGAGGTACTTCTGCCCCTCCACTCTGCTTAGGTGAGACTCGCCTGGAGTATTGTGTCCAGCTCTGGATCCCCCAACATAAAAAGGGCATGGACCTGTTGGAGTGAGTGCAGAGGAGGACACAAAAATGATCAGAGGGCTGGAGCACCTCTCCTATGAGGACAGGCTGAAAGAGTAGGGGTTGTTTAGTCTGGAGAAGAGAAGGCTCCAGAGAGATCTTATTGCAGTCTTCCAGTACTTAAAGGGGGCCTACAGAAAAGACGGGGGCAAACTTTTTAGCAGGGTTTGTTGAGATAGGACAAGGGACAATGGTTTTAAACTAAAAGAGACTAGATTTAGACTAGATAAAAGGATGAAATTCTTTACTGTGAGGGTGGTGAAACACTGGCACAGGTTGCCCAGAGAGGTGGTAGATGCCTCATCCCTAGAAACATTCAAGGCCAGGCTGGATGGGGCTCTAACAACCTGATCTGGTTGAAGATGTCCCTGCTCATTGCAGGGGAGGGTGGACTAGATGACCTTTAAATGTCACTTTCAACCCAAACTATTCTATGATTCTAAGACAACTGGCAGGGTGAGAGTTATTGTGCATATAAGTAGTAAGGATTTACAGTTTTTTGACTTCAAAGTAAATTGAAGTTCATGGAAAAAGGAGACCAAGATACTTATCACCTTGCTGTCTGGAATAATGAAGGCTAATATATTGATAAAGCAGTATTATCCTTTTATTTAATAATTATTATATCTTCTGACGATCAATACCAAAATTATTAGACACTAGTATTACTCCAACACCCAAAACCTAGTGCTGCATGCCATTCTGTGATACCTAGACTGTACTGCTGAGCCTCTGCTCTCTCCCAGCCTTGGGGAGGGTTTCCTCTGTGGTGCTTCTACCATAAAAGCTGCAAGGGAAGGCTGGAGATGGGTTCTGGCTCACTGCCAGAAGGCAGCAAAACACAGCCCATGACAGCCGCCGCGCATTGAACCCAAAAGAGGCATCATTAGCCCCAGAAATGGCTGTACTCAGGTACATGGTCTATATTCCAATGCAAGCCGGATAAAACCCTTTCTGTCCACTTCCCCATGTAACAGAATATTGGCTGAAACAAGGAATTAGTGAGAGGAAAGAGATCCCTGCTTCCACTGAAAGCTACCTAAATCTCACTGATGTCTTATACAAAAGCTAAAATAATATCATACCAGTTATTGATATTTTTGGGTAACTATTTTCAGAGGAGCAAATGGTACTGCTCATCACTATTCCACTGACCCCTGTCTCCTCCTGTTATTGATCATAGCTTCTCCCTCCGGCAGAAAACCAGCAAATTATCACTTTGAATAAAGAGTTGAGGCCAAAGGTAAGGAAAAGGAATGAAGAGCTGTATACGAAAGGGAGATTAATGGCAAGAGTAGGCACACTGGAAGAACAGCAGTTGGACCAGTGTGTTTTGATGTCTAGATAGGGGAAGGTCAGAGAAATAGAGTATATGGACTTCATTTAGAAGTATGAGTAGAGTCAGAAAAAGCCTTTGCATGACAGTGCCCCTAGAAATTCTCTCCTCCCCATCCTTCAGCTTTTGAAATAAGGCAAGCTTATCATTATAATCTAAATACAAGGAAAGTATACAAAAGAGCAATCATTGTATTATGAGTTACTCTCACAACAAGTATGGCACGGAGATGCAAATCACACGCAGCTGAGGAGTACAGAAAAAGATAAAGGGGAAGTGGTCTCTTCTCTAGGAAAAAGCTTTCCTGTGTTCATACAGCTTGCAATTACGCAATGAGGAGTGATTTATTCTTTTTATTCTTTTAATTTATTCTTTATTATTCTTTTAAGAAGCGTTGCCTTCTTTTCAGCTTATTTGGTCTTTGCATCTCTAGGAACTACATAGCACAGGAAAAACTCTGTCACCTCCTGCCCAT